TTTACATTGGATGGATTTGTTTAATACGAAATTTCAACATTATTTACAATTTTAAAGCTATTTGAATTTTAAGATTTAGACAATCTTTAACGACTTTCTAATACCCAGCATTATATGCATACACCCTGTTTGGTTTCGGGCTGCTCTAAGAAGTGGCCGCACGACGACTCCATTAATCAAGGCCGCAAACAAGCGTGGCACCCGCCGGAGAGGACGCCCGGAACAAGGGGGTGGAATTGCATTTGTGGGTGGTGGGTGCTGAGTAGTAACTTAGGACAGAGGTTAACTGCTGGATACACACACATATAAACATAAATAATTGGAATGATTCTTTAAAGGCAATTACCTAATTTGGAACGCTTTGAATAATTGCCCAGGACTGAACCGAAAAGTCTGCGCAACCAAATCTGTGAAAACGCAACAGTGGCAGGGGCAGAGAGGGACAGAAAGACGGACGAGAGAGATAGCAAAAGGACAGCGTCGCACTAAGCGGCTTAATGCCCCAAAATGAAGATAAAGTGATTTCAGCGCCGCTTCTGTTTTTGCAAGTGCAACACGCCCGAGAGACATTTAAATCCAAAACAGTTCGAAAATAATTAGAGCGTTTAGTGACCCCATCTACGCTCGGAAGGCAGTGGCCGCCCACAATATCTCCGGTTTTCCCATTGCCCCTCGGGGAACGCGCTGAAATGTTGAGAGCCATGTTGCACGACGACGTCAACGGACGGAGAAAGAAGACAGCGACATAACTAGATGAACACTAAATACTCTGGAAAATGCAGTAATTGTGTAGGAGTAATTATTTTTTTCAAGCTTTTGTTTTTCTTTGCTTCTTGCTGTAATCATTATTAATTCTGAAGCTTCACAAATGTATTTGGATTTAATTAAAGCTTCAAATAAAAATCGAATAACTATGTGAGTAATCCAATTGCAGTTCGTCGCCATGCAACTGGTATTAAACTTAAACACCGTAAAAATGCAATTAGTGATTAGGATACAGCGACACCAGAACAAAGGAAAATATATTAATGATGCTCGCATTTAGCAATTTGAACTTTTTTCCAGCATTAATCGCATTAATCGTTACTGAAATCATGACAAATTGCGAATACCTTTGAAGCACTTTGTTTCGGAGATGATACCAGTGGGAGTGGAGGGCAGCCAAGTGGACAGCGGACGTCCGAATCGGAGAATCCAGGACCGGCCACGTCCCAAGTGACCCAAAAGGACACGCAGCGAACCCTTGACTCTGGGAATGATAAACGGATAGGGGGCGGGGAGCTGCGGCCGGAGTCTGGCACAGTTTGAAGTTAAATAAATTAAGGGCAATTAGGCGCAGCATTACAAGCACAAAGGTCACTCGAAACTGGCCTCCGCATCCCCGTTCGCCGGCCCAAAGGCCAGGTGATTTCTGAAGTTATGAACGAAATGTTTATTTGCGGACTTCCCAGCGGGAGACAACTGGCATTCGAGGAGCCGTCTCAGGCCGAACTCCATCGCTGCTGATGCGATTTATAATTGCGCACTCTACACTGTACATTTACCGTTTCCCTCTCCGACACAAGGCGGAAGTTGTTCAGCGCGAAGATTAGCGGCGAGTCGGTTCGAGGCCCAGACGAGACCAGAAAGCGTAACGCAAATAGAAAAACAGCAATCAGAAAGCAGCACTTTTGGCCAATTAGCTGCGGCTAATTGTTGGTGCCTGCCTGGTGCAGAGGTGGAAGAAAGTACTCGTACGCGAAACCCAAAACATGAAGCCAACCCACAGTCGGGGGAGGAGAAATCGCTGAACAATTTATTGCAAACCGCATTAGTCTGTTTCGAAAGGTGCCAAGTCACAAGTGGCTGATCCCCTGGCTGCGATCAGCACTTTTTCCGCCAACTTCCGCTGCTCCCAGAAAATATTTGCATAGTGGCCGAGTTCTACTTTTGCCAGCTAAGCAAAAGATGATCAAAGACGGTCAAGCGGATAATGAATGGAAAATATGCAAAGCTAAGTGGGAGGAAATATGTATATAAAGATTTTTTTGGTTTTTTTTTCATTTTACTACTGAGGTAGAATACTATAAGCCAGTTGCACGCACTCTTATTATTTATTTAAAATTTCATTACAAATTTTGACTATAAAAGTTGAACTCATATGTCCTACATTGGCATTAAAAATGTAAAAATAAACTCAAGACTGTACTTAATTCAACGGCCAGACCTTTGACATCCATAAAAGCCAGAAACATGCAAAACATATTTTCCACTTAATAATTCAAGCGAATAAAGCTCCAACTTTCAACCCAATCTACTTAGTTCTCGGTACCTGAAGGCATCGAGTGAACTCGAGATACTCATGCTTGGCTGCCCAAAAATACGAAACTAAAAGAAAAATTCAAACACGCAAGAGAAGATTTCACTTTTTGAAGCTCGGGCAACAACTGAGGCAAAGAAAAATACCAGAAAACAATACACAATCATAACTGACCTTAATCAATGTCTACGGAGTTGGGTTTTCTGTCTATCTGCGTGCCCGAGTGTGGGTGGCTGGGAAACTGGAGAGCCATCTGCGTTGGCCAAACACGAAGTGTATCTTCGAATGTAACAAGCATATGCAATCGCGTTTTTTTCGCTCCAAAGGAGGACAAAAACAATGGCAACATGGGCTCTGGGCCGCCCATCTCCATCTGCGAACTACGAGTGCACCACTACCGCTGTTTTCTCTGGCTGTGAACGAGTTTTCTGCGAAAACTTCTCAGGCAATCTAAATCTGGACGGAGCTGGGAGATGCCACTTCTCCAAGTCGCCAGAGCCAGCGATGCTATTTCATTCATATGCAACGAAGGCCGGCCAGAGGGGAGGCAAGAAGCCCAGAGGAAACAGGTAACACAGAGAGCGTTTCCTGTCTGGCCGAGAAACAAGACGCGAAAGGTATCATGTACCTGCCCGGAGTGTCCCGCAGGTGAAGTAACTTATACGCTATTTCAGCCTCCTCTTCAACTGCCTAACTTCTGGCCTGGGGGTAATTAGTTTAGAGACTTTTTATACCCGTTCTTGTTCTTATTCCCGTTCTCGATCCCAGTTCCCAGTCTCGGGCATCATCATTAAATGAGAGATACAATATCCATATCTGCAGAGTAGCTCTTCCACTGCCGTATGTAAACCGACAGGTCGTAAAATCATCACATTGTGAAATATCTGCACACGATGCAATGAATTCATTCACTTGGCCCGGCGAATTCATTCAGTTAGTTGCGCTCTGCCGCTGGCCTGCGAGTACGAGTAAGTATCTTGTATCTGGCGGATGTGACTCATTCGGTCAAGTCTGAAATTGCGCCGCAAAGCAAAGCGAAGCCAAGCAAACCGAAGCGAAGCCAAGCTATCTTTTTCATTTGCCACTTACTCGTCTGTGCCGACTGCAAGCTAAGCAATTCTCAGAGTTTCTGATGTTTTTCTCCCATCTGTGTTTCTTGGGTATTTTTTGGGCTTGTTTCCGTCGCTGTTTTCTGCTCGAGTAGCTTGATCGCTGATTGACTGTAGGTACACACAGTACATACATAGATGAGTGGGAACTATGTATGTACAAAGCCTCTCATAGGAATATTAAATATATTTTTTACCATTTATGTACACAGTAAGCTGGTAGGCCTCTAATTTTTTCAAAGTTAATATTGAAATATCATCGTAACTGGTCACAAAACAATGATATTTCATGAATGCATATGATTAGAAATCGGGGGACCATCAAATTTGGCGTTCACATAAAGGTTTAAGCCCTAACCCTCTACTTAATAAAAAAAAACTGTTCTGTTTAATTTTTGTTAAATTTTTTTAAACAATGCCTGGATGCCTACAGGTTTTTACCGAAATTCCAACTATGTATATTAATATTTAATGTTGAAATTGCATTGAAACCATCCCACTACTAAGAAAACGAAATAAAATTTCATAAAAGCCTATGAGAACATATCGGGGAATAAGGGATAAAAATTAAGTTTAAAAAGTTTAAGGTCCTAACCCTGTACATGGGTACATTATATAAGAAATTACCCTTTATTTTAAAAATTAAATTAATTGATTTTTAACCATGAAGTTCCAATCGTTAAATTCCTAACAAATCCAATCCAATCCAATCTCTTATCTATGTATCTTATGTTATTATATCCCTTTATCTCTCTCCAAAAAAATGGATTATTACAATTTGTACTCCTAGAGAGTTTTAGTTTGTAGCAAGAAAGTGTGTGTGGTATAGGGTATATAGGGTATCAGTATATCAGTATTAGACTGGGTATTGTCGGGAACCTTGACTATAGCCGTTTTTTCTTGTTAAAGAGATAAGAGGTCACTGTGGACGGCAGTAAACAAGGTGGCGAACCTATAATAGATTCGAATTTTTGTATATTTTTAATAATTAGTTCTAAAAATTTCTGGGAAGCAAGAAAGTGGCATTTTTTCAGAGAAAAACTGTGCTTTTATTCACAGGGTGTTGATGACTCAAATTTTATAGATAAGGTTTTCAAGTTAAAACACATTTAAGTGAAATTGAAAATATACAAACAAAAACCGAATACAAAATAAAATTTTTTAATGAATAAAATCGAGCTGTTATTCTTATAAACATCACAAACAAATGTTTAAGGAGAAACATCGAATTTATATTGTCAAGCTCGTCCCATTTATAATCCTTTTTATGTTGTCAGGCTGCCACTCCGCTGAAACGACCGCGCAGTCTATTTATAACGCATCAGACTTTATTTATAAAGCGCCAGGATAATTCGGAATCTTTACAACGACGGCGTGTGCAGTATAATCCTGGTCGCCGTTCGTGTGGGCCTGGCCCACATGTTGCTTGGCATCATGTTGCTGGGAAGCGAACCGGGTAGAGCAACATGGACTCGGGCTTTCGCATCTGTGCTTTCTCCACGCCGCTGAATATGAGCGCGCCACGAAGAGAGCCCGAAGTAGCTTCGGTTTAGCCGAGCTGGGGCTCTGATTTGAGACCGTGGAGCCCCGCATGGCACTCAGTTCCAATTTTTAAGCCCGAACGAGCGGTTGCGTCAGTCCGCTGCGTCGCCATCGCTGTGAGTGCGTGTGCCTGTGTGTGTGCGAGTGATCCAGTGATTCAAGCCCCGTGACTCGGTTTCGGGCAAGGTGCAGTGGAACCGTTGCAGGCCAGCTGCAAGTGCAAATCAATGCCCAACTGCCAGAAGCGGCCCTCGCGGAAAGCCAGCTAGCTCCCCTCGCGACTGGCTCGGGCCCCCACGTCTCGAATGGGACCGAGCGTGCCGCTCGTAGCGAAAACGAAACCGAAAGCGACGAAAAAAGCACGACGAGCATGAACGCGATGCGAATTAAAGCCTTGCGTGGCAAAAAACGCTAACGGAATCCTGCAAAAAACGGGAAAAAATAAATAAATAATAATAGCAGCAAACTAAAGAAAATTGTGCTGGAAAAGGTTGCGTAGCAGAAATAATAATAGAAAACGGCAGAGAGGAAATACGAATTTCGGTGGCCGAAAAGTAAAACCGATTATCATTCGCAGGAGTGAGAGTGAAAGTGGGTTGTGTGTGCGATATAAATAAATATAAATAACATTGGGTCTGGCCAGCGCTAATTACGGCGAAACATGAAAATCTTTGCGAAAAGCGCCGCTCAGAATACACAAACAACAAGTGAGGCCAAGGCGTCAATTAATCAATTTTCCGCTTGACCCACAAGGAAGTTTCCATATCATAATTAAAAATTATACCAAGGCCCATAGGGAACGAATGAAACAAAAGTAAACCCCAACATATCCATGAAACACAAATAAAAGCAATAAAGCCTCTTCGAAGACTTCATATCAGAATAAACTCCAAGCTCAAACAATTAAGCTAAACTGAAACTGTAAACTTTTTGTGAAAAATAAAAAAATAAAACCTTAAAAAGATAAAACCAAAGAATTAAATCTACCATATCGCCAATAAAACGAGAATCCATGGCTGCAGCCTAGAAGACTCCATCACAGGACTCACAATCTACAAAAAGCGAGGAAAATGCATATCAGAGCTTTGGCGATCCTGGTCCTTAGCCTGCTGCCCGGGGTCATCCAGGGCAATCGCTACAACCAGCGCCTCTATGCCAGCGGAGGCGGCTCCCCGTCCGCCTCGTCGCCAGGGAGCTACCGGAGCTCCTCGCCGTCTTCCCAGAACGAGGTGTACCCCGTGGCGGACAGCCAGCCCATGACCGAGGACGGCTACATCCCGCCCAGCCAGCACTTCAACCCCGCCCACACCAGCGACCTGGACCCCCCCGCCCAGCAGCTGAGCACCTGCCAGACGGTGTGCGCCTGCAAGTGGAAGGGCGGCAAGCAGACGGTGGAGTGCATCGATCGACACCTGATCCAGATCCCCGAGCACATCGACCCCAACACCCAGGTGCTGGACATGTCCGGAAACAAGCTGCAAACTCTCTCCAACGAGCAGTTCATCAGGGCCAACCTCCTGAACCTGCAGAAGCTGTATCTGAGGAACTGCAAGATCGGCGAGATAGAGAGGGAGACCTTCAAGGGCCTCACCAACCTCGTGGAGCTGGACTTGTCGCACAACCTGCTGGTGAAGGTGCCCAGCCTGGCCCTGGGACACATATCCTCGCTGAGGGAGCTCACCCTGGCCTCCAACCACATCCACAAAATAGAAGCCCAGGCCTTCGCGAACACCCCATCGCTGCACAAGCTGGATCTTTCCCACTGCGACATCCAGACGATCTCCCCCCAGGCCTTCAGTGGCCTGCAGGGTCTGACCCTGCTCCGACTGAACGGAAACAAGCTGAGCGAACTGTTGCCAAAGACCATAGAGACGTTGAGCCGCCTGCACGGAATCGAGCTGCACGACAACCCCTGGCTATGCGACTGCCGGCTGAGGGACACCAAGTTGTGGCTGATGCAGCGGAACATCCCGTATCCGGTCTCCCCAATCTGCTCAGGAGGCCCCGAACGGATCATCGATCGCACCTTCGCCGATCTCCACGTGGACGAGTTCGCGTGTCGCCCGGAAATGCTGCCCATATCGCACTACGTGGAGACGGCCATGGGGGAGAACGCCTCCATCACCTGCCGAGCGAGGGCCATTCCCGCGGCTAACATCAACTGGTACTGGAACGGGCGGCTCCTGGCGAACAACTCCGCCTTCACCGCCTACCAGAGGATACACATGTTCGAGCAGGTCGAGGGCGGATTCGAGAAGCGGTCCAAACTGGTGCTGACCAACGCCCAGGAGACGGACTCGAGTGAGTTCTACTGCGTGGCCGAGAACCGGGCTGGCATGGCCGAGGCGAACTTCACCCTCCACGTGAGCATGAGGGCAGCAGGCATGGCCTCGCTCGGAAGCGGACAGATTGTGGGCTTGAGCGCGGCCCTGGTGGCCCTCATTGTCTTCGCCCTGGGCGTGGCCATGTGCCTCCTCCTGAGAGTCAAGCGCCAGCCCTACGTCGACAGTAAGACACCCAATCACATGGAAGTAATCACGTCGGTCAACCATCAGAACTCCATAACGAACAAAACGCAGCCGGTGGCGGGAAACGGAACGGTAGGAGGAGTGGTGATTGCCAACGGAGCGGTGGCCAACATCATAGACGCGGGAGTCATCCAGGGCGGCACTCTGGAGCGGAAGAGCAGCAGTCGGGGAGCTGGGTCTCACGGGGGGCTGGATCAGCGCCATGCAAACCCCGTCCAGAAGCCGCCGAGGCTCACCGACCTGCCATACTCCACCCAGGGATACGACAACAATGGCAGTGTTCTCTCGACGGCGTCCTGCTTCATTTCTCCCACCGGCTCCCCCGGAAATGGCGGAAATAATCCGGACTTAATCAACGACACAAAGCGTTTTGGCAGCGATGAGTTTACGGACTTGAAGATACCACCGATTGGCGGTGTAGGTGCGGGCGGCAGTGGGGAGTACAGCCGGGCCAATGGCTGCGACTCCTTGTACCCCTCCGGGCTTTGGGAGCACGGTGGGCCCATGGGGGCCACCTCGGCGGACGATCTGTTCATGAAGCGCTATACGGACAAGACGCCGATTATTGACTCGACGCAGCTCTATGACTTGCACGAGCGCTCGACTGCCACGGATTACTTCAGCAAGACCTTCCCCAGGTCCCACCTGCAGCAGGGGGTGGCGAGCGGAGGAGGAGCCTCGACCGCATCAACCGTCACCACCAATCTTTCGGGCGGCTCATCTGCGGGCGGGGGCTATCCCAACGACTATGGACTGCCCTTGGTCCCCGGAGCGGAGCACCAGCACAACCACCAGCTACAGATGCACCCCCTGCAGCAGCTCCAGCAGCAGCTATCCTCCACGCTAAACCACCAGAAGCAGGAGGGCAGCTCCAACGGGAGCAGTCCCCACTTCAGCAGTCGCACGCTGCCGCGATTGCACGAGAGTGGCAGTGGCAGCGCCCGCTCCTCGCCGACTCCGGCCGGGGTTAACTCCCTGGCGCCGGGGCCAGCCCTCGCTCCCGCTAGCTCATCCAGTTCCTGCTCCATTCTGCCCAACGGCCAGCCCGTCAACGCCAAGACGATACGTGTGTGGCAGAAGGGGGGTGTGCCCGTGCTGCCCCCAGTGACGGCCCTGAAGCGGGCGCTCATCAGCAGCAGCCGCAACTCGCCGGACGAGGGCTACCAGGAGGGATGCGGCACGGACGTGTAAGCGCCGCGACCCGGGAGGGAGGAAACCAAACCAAGAACTGACTAAACTTAACACAAAGCATATTTAATTATAATAGAACAGGCATGTGGGAGGAAGAGAGAGACCTCTTCTAGGTGTAATTCGTAGATAGCGTAGCGCTGAGGTCCTAGGTGCAAGCGAACCGTTTGTGATAGTGTCTAACAAAAGATAATGCGAATGAAGATAATAATTGCCCGAGCAAGGAGAGGGCTAAAACGAATCACTGCACTTCACTAACGTATACTCTCCTAGGCAAGCAACTCGACTACTAAAACAACTCTAAACTAATGTTAACTTGAACGTAAACTAAGCCCCAGCTAAGCATTGTACAGTCAACTTTATTTCTATACCAATGGCAACTCTCAAGTCCCCGCATTACGTAAAGATAACCCAAGATGTAAGCAAACGGATTGATAAATGTTAATAATTCTTTAAATATATAACTGATGTATGCATATATGTATTTGTGTATGTGTGTGTATGTGTGCGTGTAATATCTAGGTTCGTTAAGTAGAAGGATGAGAACCCGAAACCAATAAACCTTTCCTCCAAGACTTGTAATCATAAATCAGAAAACAAACCGAAGTGGAAGCTCAACATTTGTAACTAAAAATCCCATATATTGTACTCGTAGGAGGTAAATGAATCATCGTTATTGTAAATACTAGATAACCAATAGAGAAGAAGCCCAATTTTTCATCCGACTATTGTTCAAACTCTCCCTGTAACGTTAGAAGCTGTGAAATTATGCAAACCCAAAACAGGCTCCCGAGGACGGCAGTAAATCTATCTACGGCGGTAGTTCTGATATTTGAATATCAGATATTTGATATTTGAATATCTACGGCGGTAGTTCTGATATTTGAATATCTTTAATTGCCAAAATAAATATTTTAAAACTATTCCATAAATTCAAATTCGATCGAACGTTTTTCTAATTCAACTATGTAGTGGATATTTGCTTCATTTTAATATTTCCCCAACTTCTGCAGGCCACCTGCGTAAATAATCGAAATTCCAAAAAATAAATGTTGTCGGCCAACTGGTCGAAACGTTTTCCTAATCAAGTTACACCAATTATCCGTCGATTCCATAGAAATACCTGCACAAAAGCATGATTTACTGCCGTCCAATCAGTGTTAGCAAAGAATATACATATATAAATTACATTTTGTGAATTTCCAAAAAAAAAAAAACGAAAAATATTGCAAATCGAACTCGAGAGGAGTCGAACTCAAATACACTAGGATAATTGAAATCTGTTGGCAGCCGAAAAGCAGAAAACAAACATCAAACGACGAAGATGAAAAGTAAAGAACGAGAAAGAAAAATATTCATCAAATTCATACGTAAATAAGCATATGTAAATTGTTTTTGAAAAACACTCACAAACACTCATGCAGACATTCGCAAACACATCACAAACAAGCACAGACACGTACGCAGACATACACGGACATGTATGAGCATGCAGGTGTAGGCCAGTTGTCCTTGTAACGGTTTAAAGCGTATCCACAAGATATTAATTGCCCGTATGTGCTAAGAATTAAAATTTAAGAAAACAAAAACAAAAACCAAACAACAAAAAAAGGCAAACACAAAATAATATTTTTAAGGTAAACCAAAGACTTTTTTCTTTGCATCTAAATGAGCGAAGGAGTCTTCAAAGGACTCTCACATATACATACACACACAGATACAGGACACACGTTCTCGCACTCGTGCAGCCCAAAGGAAGCCGAGCGGCGAAACGAGCAAGAAGAAACCGTAGCATTTAAGTCGAACCTATGTATTATGTATTGTATAATATATACCTACGTATAGTATATAGTCTATAGATGTGTACACTTATCAACAGAGCGGCGTGGCTAAAAAGTAAGCTAAGATAGGCTGAGGGGCGACAGTTGTAGAGACGGGACGAGAGAAAGCAGGAGGCCCGCAGACAAAAGGCGAGCACTGAATGCATGAAAGAAACTGAATGAACAACAAAGCAAAACGGAAATATATATAACATTATATATATCTATATATGAACGAAAACATAAACCATTGTCATTATTTTTTTACCCACAAGGCTACAAGGCTACCCGTCCAAAGGTAGGTAAGGTACGATCCTGAGCGCCTCGGGGGAGGTGGTCAGGGCTCGGAGTGGCTGACGTGACCCAATTAGCTGCCCATTCGAATTCCGTCCGAAGCTGGGGCTAAAGCCAAAGCTGATTCTACTGCCGGGGCTGCTGTTACTGCAACGCTTTGCCATATTAGGGCCAATCGTCTAATCGCCAATTATGCATTTTGCCCCCTCGCAGTCACACTAGCACACTCCCCACAACCACAGCCCATCTATGCCCGCAACCTCACCTCATCTCACCTGAAACACACACCACCAACACACACGGGAACAAACAGAAAATGTGGCTCAAATCGATAGGTCTATTCATTTGAGGCCAAAAATATGCCCATGGACGGGGAATATGGAATACACTAAGGAGAAGATGTCGAGAGAAAAGGTTGAAAGTTCATGGGCTTGGTTTTCAGTTTAATATTGTTCAATTTCTGTTTATCAAAATCTCTACAATTTAAAGAAAATATTGATTTGTTTAATATTGAAATTTAGTCAAGCTCTACCTTTCTGTATTCCAACCTTTTATATTTTATTACCTTTCTCATCTCAAGAACAAGTGGTAGCCATGGAGAGCACTCAATCTATAATCTTTGAGCTTGCAGAACCAGAACATTGGTCAGACGTTTTCCATTGCAAATTGGAGATATCTTTTTTGGGAAAATCTGCCAACGACCTCAACTCCGTCCGTATGCACCCTACGACCCCAGGTCCCTGTATGTCTGATTGGACGTGGGTGGTTAGGTGGCACGGCCACCGCCTGGGTGTTTTCGGGGGAGGAAGTTGTTAGGCAGCGCACAATAAATACGGCAGCCCAGTACCAGATTATATCATGGCGTGCGGCTATGTCTGGGCTCACCCAGGTCGCCGCCCACCACCCGGCACCCAGCCACTATAAACGCCTCGCTCATCCACGGCTTTGGCCACCAAGCCTTATTGACGACGCGCAAAGTTTGCCAACTAAACAAGTTTTGTGCCTCAAATGAAATTTAGGTTGCAACCGAAGCCCAACAAAAGCCAAACAAAACACCGGCCAGCAACAACAAGCAGCGGATGGAAATGAGGAGCGGGGAGTGCCGGGCAAGGAGGGTCTGAGAAAAAATTAGAACTTTTCTGCGCTGAAGGAAAGTGAATTTTATTTGTTCAACTTTATTACGTATACGTGCCGTTGTGCTGCCTGTGCAAATAACCAAAAATGCAAAACGTGGGCCGCTCCCACCTCTGCCCCCACCTCGCTTCGCCCTTCACCTTCTAATGCCGCCACTCCCACCTCTCGTCCCCCACCCGATGATCTCTAATGAAACCGCCGCCATTGCGGCCCGACAGGTGCTCGTCTCACATTTATGTTGCATACATTGCCGCGCTTTCAGGCGTTTTCTGTTTAACGACTTTGGCTAACACATACCTGCACTCGAAAAAAAACAGCATCTTGCAAATAGTTCGATAAATCAGATAAATTCCTTAAAGTTTTGCATTTTTCGCAAGAATTATAAATTTAAATAAATGAAGTGTATTAGGCCTACAGTAAAGTAGAATTTGGAGTACGCCTTTGGCCAGTTGGCCAGTTGGTAGGAAAGCATGTCTTGAGTGTAAATTGGAGGCATGCGAAATTTATAAGCAAAAGCAAGTGCCGAAAAAATAAGGTAAGCCGCACACACGCAGCCAAACACGGCACACTCGTCCTCACTCATATACTCGCACACTTGCCTAAGCTAACAGACAGCGGGCCGTAAATATTGTTGAAAACGGCAGTTTATTTTTGGGGAGCCGAGGAAACATTATTCAATCGAGGCGCTTCTGGCCGGGCTAAGCCACACCGAGCTGGCCCGGAGAAGTCGAGCAGGAGGCACGGACAATCGGCAACCGCTGATGGATGTGAGCAGAAGCAACAAAGAGACAGCTGCTTGAAGGTGCACCGGCATAATGTTGGACGTTATTTTTGTACCGTTTTGTTCTCCTCGGCGTGTGGTGCTGGCCGTATAGAGGGACCGAGCGACCGCAAGTTAAATAAGAAGGAAATGAGCAGGAAATCAAGTCTCAGCTTCATGGGCCAAGAAAAATGCTCTAACTTGGAAGACTTTAATGGGAGGATAATGGTAGGTATGGTAAGAACAAGTATTTTATTTTAAATAATTTATTACAAAACAAAAAAAAAATTATTTATGCTTTAAAGCCTTCAGTATTTTGAAGCATTTTTTAACTGTAAAGAACTCGACTGGCTATAGGTAGAGTATCAGTGCTGCACACAAACCAGCACACGACCAGCACACGCGCACACTTTAAGCCCACATTCACACGCACACCCCCACAGGCCGGGAGTCGTAAACAGAGACTCAACAAAGAGTTGTCCTTTGACTGTCAAACACACACACATCCTCGCTCCTACCGCGCTCCGTCCATATGCATGTGTCTCTTTAGCGTCTCCAGGATTTAATGGCCTCATTAATTTTGTATGCTTGGCCTTAAATTATTTTACTTGCCTGCCCTGCTCAGCTATTCCATTAACTTGACTTTGCTATGCCCACAGCCGCATGCCACGCCCCCACTCGACGCCCAACGCCCCAGCGATCCACCGAAGTGGGAAGCACGGGGGAGTTGCCGGCGACGGGAAATCACTTTCTGACTGACTCGACTCGACGCGACTACATTAATTTACATAAGCTTAATTGTTTTATTTAATCAATAAAAATAATTAAATGCCATGTGCGTAAGTAATTAAAACAAATCGTTTTTATTGCGTGGCCGAAATTGGAATTGCATAAACATAAGCCGAAAGAGGCACGGCAGGCGAACAAAGGACTATCTAGTCGCGGAAAAATTTGCATGCAACATGGTGCATGTGGTTCGTAAGCGTAAGCGTGTGTGTGCCTATTTAATTACTGCACATCAAACATTAATCACCAACCAGCCAAATGCAAATACGCATGGGGGGACCCGAAAACGAAAACGAATTTTTGGCCAAATGATAATTTAGTTTTGATCAGCAAACAGAATTTGACGCCTCAGTCGTGCGGGCGGTGGCGAGGACGGGGGGCTTTTGTGGGAAGTCAAATCCATAAACCAAATTACTTTGTGCTTTGGTTTCGGCCAAATCTATGCCCACACATATGCATCTAAATCTATCGCTCCTACATATATTTTTTTTGATTTTTGGCAATTTTTCGGCAAAATTTATGGCGCACAAAGCGTAAAAACCAAAATAACCCCAGCAAATCAGTACGAGAAATTATGCAAAAATATTTTTCACTCGCGGTCAGCGGGAGTGTGTCGTGGTTGTGTGTTGGGTGTTGTATGTTTTAGGCGTAGGAAAACGATTTAATCCGAAACACAAACAGGCATACGGACTGGAAACACAGCTACAAATTAAGCTAATGCCCAGATAGATACATTTATATTGATCAGCAATTTAATGTAAATTATATTGTGTATTATGTGGGCAGACTGGAAGCGGAGGGGGCGGACGGTGTGCGTGAGCCACATTATGCAAATCAGAGTTTTGTATTTGAATCTCTCAGTCTGTTGCTTTTTATCGATATTTGTTTTATGGCGCACCCACAACCCGCACGCAGAGATAACGAGGAAAGCTCTTTGAGCATATGCCCGGGTAAGTAGGCTACAAAGCGTTGGCAGCGCAGAATTATGGTAAACTTTGTGGCCATTGAAAACGTAAAATAAAGATTTACCGTATACCGTGT